ATAGTTTAAGTGTCTGATTAATGAATGCCTTTTAAGAATCTGGTTATGGAAATTATGATCTAGCCTTAGACTAAGAATAGCTAAGAGCATTATTATGATCTGGCCTTAGACTAAGAATAGCTAAGAACATTGTTATAATCTGGCCTTAGATTAAGAATAATTTAATAGCACTATTGAAATAGTATCTGAATTGAATAAAATGTAGTGATATGAACTGAACAATACCAAAACTGTGAATGTTTGAAATGAACATTGTGTGCATGATATCAAATGATTTGATTATGAATTTAGATTCAGTTTATATGGATGTTCGACGTATTAGATATGCTTACTCAGCTTTACCGCTGAGCGTGTAGTGTGTTTTATTTGCTACACGCAGGTAAGCAGAAAGCAGAATGTGATCCTGGCGGCAGATGAGGTGAGATTGTCGGGATGGATGTGACAAGTTGTGAAACAACTTATGATATGTCAATATTAAAATCGCTTCTGCAATATTGTTGAATACTCCGTATTGTATATGTATTGAAAAATATTATTGGGATTAATAAAGTGTGTTTGAAAAGTTTTAAATTTTTACGATTACCAAGTTAAATACTTTAGTCCGAATGGGGCTGCAGACCTGGACGGATTAGGGTGTTACAGAGGTACTGTGTCAGCCCTTTCTCAACCCATTATTTGTTTTTTTGTCCCGACTTGAAACTCGAATCGATTTCAAGACTTTTTGAGTTGCATGAAAGTATGTGGAGGTGTTTACACACGACATTAGGCCGCTAATTGGATTGCATGATGATCTTTTTAGCTATTTTTATTTTCTTTATTTATTATAGGTATAATGTGATATGTCTTGTATGAATAATGTAAACTATGTTTTTTGAGAGCTTATACTTGAGTAATTAAAGTAAGTGAATGAAATATGTTACTTAGAAGAACTCTAGGACTACTTTGTGAGAGTTGAGATTGTAAGTTGATGATAGGTTGTAGAGCCTTATGGACTTAGTGTCCAGTGGCATTCGAATAAAGCTGTACGTACATGCTATTTTAGATCTGATTCGTAAGATTGGAGGTTCCACTCAACTGGCTCCGTATGTACCAGATTGACTAGAATCATGGCCGTAGGTAGTGGTTCTGATGTCATAGAATAGACTTGAGTCATGACCGTATGTAGTGGCTCTAAGTCCTAAGATAAGAATGTGGATAATGAGGAATTGGCCTTACCCTAGAATAGGTTATGATTTAGTGTTGGATATGAGCTATTGTAATGACTTAAACATTGTGTTATTAACATATGCAGGTGAAGAGCCAAGGTAAGTTATCTTAAGTAGGATTGTTATAACGTAGTTGTTGTTATTTGATAATTGTTACGTATTACTATTGTGCTTGTGTGCATGATATTGTGTAAAGTTATGAGCTAGTAAGGTCGTGTGTATGTGTAGTCGAAATGTTAGATATTTCTCACTTAACTTCAATATGGAGTGTAGCCCTTTTTCATATTTGTTACATGTAGGTTACATGATCAATGAACAAGGAAACAATCCTAGAAGGCAGCAAGGGTGAAGAGATGGATGAATGATTGCTAGAGGAGTTTATTTGATTAAACTATTACGTTTGAATTAGTAATGTTTTAAGGGCAAGAACCCAAATTTGTATTTTGGATTAATTACTTTAAAGCTTCTGCACCATTTTGTTAACTCCGATGAATGTTTTAAATAATATTTTGAATTAAAGAAAGTTCAAATTAAATAAATGAAGCAAGTTTTCTTTATATTTCAAGATCTATGCAATCAACTTATAGGTACTGTTGAAGTGGATCGTAATGTCCTTGGCAAACGTTATAGATTTCCTACCCCTTGAATGACAGTAATCCTTTCACGCGAGTGAGTTCAATCGACTATCCCAAATTAATTTCAAACCCACTTTAATGTTGGTCTAAGCCCCCCACCCCCCTCCCAATAAACTGTAACCCGTGTTGAACGCACAAATGTAAAACATGACATGCACACTTTGATGTAGAAATCTAGTCATGGCACTGGTAGGGGGCAAAGTTGTCTAAGTCTAGAAATGACAATGGTGTTATTAATAGTGTTAGACTTAACGCACATCTCTAGAGGGAGGTGATTAAAGGTGTCGGCCACTTTGACTGCTTTTCATGTGATTTATCCTCTCGAATGATCTAGAGTATAAAATGCTCAAAAACATGCAACCATAATGAGATATAGAAGCAAATAATGAAAAACAGTAAAAAAACACCACATGTATTGGTTCGGCCTAATGCCTACATCCAGTCCCAGGACATTTGTGCCCAAGCCTTCAGTAACTACCCTTCTAAACTTAATGATGTTTGACAAACCTTACAACTCGAGAACCTGAGTCACACAAGCCTTTAAACCACAAGTCACATATATCACCACTTGACGTAGTCCCAACACCAAATTTCTCTAACCTCTTGGTGTAGTCCCAACACCAAATTTCTCTAAGCACTTGGTGTAGTCCCAACACCAAGATTTACACAATTTCTCACAAGAAAGAAAATCAAACCACAGTGAAAATTACTCTCTAATAGAGCAGATATCCTGCAACACAAATTTCCTATAGAATATGGCAACCATGGGTGGCCCGGAGGGTGTGCAAAGTGGCCAACCGCACATGGCGCCTTAAAATTTAGGGCATCATATTTTTAAATTTGTTAATAATTTTAAAGCAAAAGTATTCTAAAAATATAAAATAGGGCACAAATTGTAAATTTTGGACCAGGCCAATTTTATTTTTTCATTTTTCGAGGCTGGCCCTGATGGCAATAATAGCTCTCCAAGGCTCAAGCAACATAAGAAAGGAATATGATCGACAACGATCATTTGCTTGGATATATCAAGATTTTGTCAAGAAAAATGCTCTCAAGAGAGTCCGTATAATGTTAGGAATGATTGTTGAATGTTGGGGCAGATTGGATATGTTTATAAGCTTCAAAACACTTGAAAACCAATGTTTTAACTGCTGCAAACATTCAAATGTTTAATCCCAACATTTAAATGTATTAGTTATCCCATGAACTTCTGGACACTGCATACATTCAAATGTGTAAACTTGTACATTCGAATGTATTAGTTATTTTACCGGAAAACTGATTTTTGACGATTTTATCTCAAAAAAACATTGGAAAAACGTTAGAGATAAAAGATGAATCGTCGAAGATAGTCTAAGAGCAATTCCTAATGCCATAGTTTTTAATAAATAATCTAAGACTTAAAAGACTCTTCAACCCGGGAGTAATAGAATATATCGATACGAAGTATTATTATTTTTTTCTAATATGAACACTGTATTATAATATTTTTATAATATACCTATATAAATATTATGATTTTAAATATATAAAGAATTAAAGATATAAAAGTAAATAAGTTTATGAGATATTGAGAACGAATAAGTGAAAAACCAGAAGAGTAGATTATATTAGAGATTGAGAATTGAGAGTTCTCTGAATTTTAGAAGAGAAATGAGCGGTATTTATAGGGGGAAAATTTGACCCCCCTCCCACCTCCACCCCTAATAGCTATAGAGTCGTTCTGGCAGCAGACACCCTCGAAATGCTATAGAGTAGTTTAAATTCAAAGGAAAAAAAAAATTAAAGGTCCAAAATCGGACTGGGACCGGTACCAAACCCCCTAGAACCGGACCTGCTTAACCCAGTCACGGTTCTGGTTCCTCTCTCCCCGCCCGCTGATTCAGAATCGACACCCTGTCCACCCTTAATTGAATAAGTGCGTCATTATGTTGAAAAATATTAACAAATACTTCCTCTGTCCTAAAACTATCTTCCTAGTTACTATTCACACGGTCAAACTTAAATCACTTTTTTTACTTATTTTCGTTAGTTATTTAATAAAAGAATATAGTAATGTCAACTCTTGTTTTGTACTCCCTTCTTCCCATTTTATATTGCCCGTTTTGAATTTGGCGCATATTTAAGGAAGGAAAAAATGATGTTGACTTTCCAAAAATGCTCTTACTTTTTTAGGGGTTGGTGATGAATGAGAAGATAAGGTGGAGAAAAGTGACTTATTTTTAGGGTAGTTTTGGTATTTTAACCTTAAAAGTTTACTATAATAAGAAATAGACAACTTATTTTGAGACGGACAAAAAAAGAAAACAGACAATTTAAAATGAAACTGAGGAAGTAGAACTTTTGATGTAGGTTTTAAATATATAAATTTTATTTTTTAATTTTACACCTACAATCAAAATAAATTAAATTGAAAATAAAATCAGTCAAATCTCGTAAACACAAACAAGAAGATAATTTTAGAATGGAGGGAGTACTATACTATAATAGAGTCAATAGCGCAGAAAAAAATAGAATTATATTGCATGTAGGAAAAGCGAGAGCTAACAACAAATTATATTATACATCCGGTTGTACCCATTTTTGGGTACAACCAAGAAATTATTTATGGTATGGTTTTTATTTTACATGAGAATGAACAATAAGTTATTTGAAATGAGTACTGTTCTGTTTCAGAATGAACACTATATTTGTAGATGAATATTATAATTATATTGAAACAATGTGTGAAAATGAGTACTACATTATTTTAAAATGAGTATCACGTTAGTTATATTTACGCAAAAATGAGTACTACTCTACTTCAAAATTTGTACTACCTGGATGTACCGTACATCCAGTTGTACCATATACCTTCTCTGGAGCTATGGGAGATAGTTACCAACTTACCGTGAAGATGAAGCGTGCCTCTTTTCTTACTAAAGCCGACAACGGGTGAAGTGTGAGTGTGTGACTATTTTGTGGAAGTTGATAAATGTACACCATATTTTAGATCTATGGTCAAGAAAAAAAGATGCACCAAAATTTAAACCCTTGTTCGTAGGGATGATACTCATACCAGGTCTGCTGTGTTTTTTTTGTTTTGAAAGGTAAGTGAATTTGTTGATTTCTATACGAGATTTTTGTGTTCCTATGCCAGCTAGCCACAAAAGAAAAATAAGAAAGTGGCTCTTTTTCATTCAACAAAAGAGTAAAAAAACAAAGTAAAAAAAATGACACAGAAATTCACTAGTTTGTATCATGTATGGTCCATATGCTTTTGGCTTTTCTCCTCCAAGTGTTGGCAACTAAATCACTAATGTTACAAGCATGAATGGATACTTTTTTTTTGTATAGAGTTATTATTACTATACCTAACCTGAGCTTTTATCAACCAAATCTGCCCCGCTAACGTACCTGGCCACGAACGAGAATAAGCGAAATGGAGCCCCAATCAGAGGCGCATCAGAGAGAGGAACCTCTGTGTTCTCATCGGCGGAAATGCTTTTCGATTCTGTTGTTGCAGCAACAACATCATCATCCTCTAAAGGAATTTGCACTATTTCACTTGTCTCGATCTCATCAGATAGACTGATGTTCGTACCGTCATTACTGCCATCTTTGGACTGAGTCGTGTCCTCAGATTCAGGAAGTATCTGAGTGGGTTCAACCAGTGAATCTTCGGCACTTGTGATTTCACGGTCAGTAGTTGAACTATCGGTATTATTATTACTATAATAAGAAGACTCAACGTTTAGGGCTATTGGACCGGATTTAGAAGATAGAGAGTCTTGTTTCACTGGACCTCCCTGCTGATGAAGTTCATCCATACACGATTCATTTACCTGGAAATATAGCAAGAAACGCCCATCGTTATTTTTTTTACTCCACATTGTTCCATGTGCATTTTGAATTTACAGCATCAATCTTGTGGTGGGACATGCCTCATGGCAACATGCTCTCAGCTCACCTAAAAATTTTCCATGCAATGATGATGACCATTTTGGATTTTCATCTCATTACTCTTCCGTAAAGTTGCAACAAGATATATTTTAGACATTTAATTGACACTTTGACCCCTATATTATTATTCGTATTGTATTTATTTTGCTGGAGGACAAATTTGCAGTAACATCCAAATGATACTTTGCAAGTTTCCAGGTTTTCAGGCATCCAATACAAACCATCAGGCTGCAGGAAACAATACGGATGATGACTGATGAGGTAAGCTCTATAAGCAACATTTTCTACATTTAAGAATAGAGAGATATTTCCAAAATATTCAAAAAAAGAAGGGTGTGAGTCAACTATTAGCATGATTTCTTTATTCATTTTCTTAAAATATGCAAGTATTCACATGATGTCTCACTCCAAATACTTAATACAGCTAATAAATCACATTAAGTCCTACAAAATGTGTGACAATATGGCACACTAGCTACCACCAAGGACCGTCCCATAATCCAAAATAAAAACGTAATACGGAGTAAAAAGAAACGAAACAAGATGTTAGTAGCTGGGCAAGGGGAACACTGGTCTAAATTTCAAAATTCTCCCTTTCCTGAAAAAGGCTCCACTTTCCTTTTAAGGAAAGAGTTATATGATTCACATTATTTCTCTCCCCTTTGCAATTTGCATAACTCTAGACCACAAAATTTAACCTTTCTTAATTGTTTAAGCGGTATACTAATTTGGGATGGAGGGAGTATACGATATAGACAACTTACCTGATTCCTCCCAGATGATGAATAAGGAATATTAGCACTCTTTACGTGGACATGTATTTGTGACTGCAGAGTAGTTACAGTTTCTTTCAGCAGCTGATTTTCTAGTACACAACTTCTCTGCAACTCTTCAAGTTCCTTCACCTGACACAGTTTGAATTTATTTGCATACCAGGAAATAACAATAATAATAATAATAATAATAATAATAAAAGGCATGATTTGAATATAAAGCTTTACTCTCTGGCGACTTAGGCATGATGTCGCGAGATTTGGACACCCGCACTGCCTCAAGCCAAGTATGGCGAGGCGTGCCCTGCAGCGGACTTGGAAAACGCCATACTGCCTAGGCACAATAACAACTATGGGCACAAATCTAAATAAAATAACTTAACATTGCGATTGGTAAAATATGCTTTCTCATGCACATGGCCTACGTGGCAATGCCTCCTAGAACCTGAATTACTGTCATCATGAAAAATATGACTCATAATCTACTAATCTGAAGTTTATTTTGTCTCCACGACTTTATCCAACCATGAATGCCTAATGCTCTTCCTCTGAATGCAGTTACTTATTCTGGGTTCAGTTCATTGAGAGCATACCTGTGTTTGTAAAAATGCATTATCAGCATTCAGCTTTGAAACTGTTTCTTCCATCAAGTTCTGTAAAACAAGAGCAAAACATACTGATACAACCAACATTCAGAAAAATGATTATCAAAAGAGCCATCCTGGAAACCTACTTGAAGAGGAAGCCAAAAGGATCTGGAAAACGAAGTGATATGGTGTTACCTCCTTTCCTATCAGCGCATCTCTTTCCTCTATATGTTTTATTGTTTCCTCCAATCTCACCTGATCCCAAGGCAGAGTTAGCTTATTGAGAAAAATTTACAATACCCGGGAGTGAAAGTATAAAATACTTGCTTAAAATGAACAAACAAGTCCACCCTGTACCCTAAGTCAACTGATTTACATCCACCCCCTCGCACATTGACACTCTGATCACGTACTCAAGAATTCGGTGTGTGTGGCGGTGCACTAAAGCGCATTAGTTGTTGACTTGTGCTCGTGCAGTAATCTTTTTTAGGGTGCTATAGGTGCTACTTAAAGAAAAAAAGGATGGGGCTAGACTACACTTAGCTTAACAAATTAGCCAAACACATTTTAAATTAAAACCTACTCTTATTGGGGCAAGACTGCAGATTTTTCTCTATGAAATCGAGGCTTAGGCTGCAACACCTTTAAGCATACACCTTTAAGCGTAGTGTCTCAGCGCCTTGGACCCTTCAATGCATTAGCCTACTTTAAATGGACTAATGCTCAAGCTTTATGGGTGTTTTCTTCGTGCTTTAGAGCCTTTATTAACAGTAGCAGTGATCAATGGTCATAGGCAATATTGATGGGTACAGTTGGTAGATATTATGTTGGTGCTGAGATGGGTCACACGAAGTGGTGTTTGGGGTAGGAACTGCAGGATGAAGGTCACTACGGTGATGGTTGTAGGATTGTTTTCTGGAACTTCCCAGTGGGTCACCCATCCTGGGACTACTCTCGTTCCAGAACGCTTAACTAATGAGTTCTGAAGTTAAAAAGGTGTCAAATGCTTTCTAAAACTAATTGGTGATAGGAAGGTGGACACTTTGTATTTAACCACATCTCTCTGTAGCCCCAAGCCAAGGTAGATTCCTATGGGGCACCCCCTATAGTTCACTACGGCAGTGCGGAGCCCCACTACTGAGCGGTGGATGGACATGAGGGGCTTCGCAAGATACACAACTCATGTACCTCGTCAGGTTGGGCTGTCAATACCCGATACTGTGACAAGCACAGTAGTGAATCCCTAAGGGTGATCGATGGTCCCCCATAAGACCAACAATGGTGAAAGATCAGTGATTGGTGTAGATATTGTTGTTGGGTGAATGTATGAGTGGTCATACTTGCCATCATGATTTGTTTTAAATTTGAAAAACTATTTTCAATTTTAGAAGGTATAAAGAGTGTTTTAAATTTGAAATATTGGAGAACAATTTCTATTTTCTAAATGTGTAAATATATTTTCGGTTTTCAAAGTTTGGGAAGCATACAAACCTTTTGAGTCAAGTAAACGGCACATTGGTTTTGGGTTTAAGAAGTGAGGACTCTGCAACTTTTATCACCCCCGATCACCAAAAAGGATGATACTCGCTCTAATACCATAATTAACAGAGGTTAATTGCAAATCTGTTTTTTATACTACGAAAGACACTTCACGTACTAACTCCTAGACGAACCGAGAAATTATGAAAAGTAAAACTAATCAGTGTATTGTCAGCATTAGAAGGTGAGTTGCAAGCCAGAGTTGGGTCTTGCAGTGATTGACTCTGAGGACCCGGAGTGGTCAGACTTGTGAAAAATGACTGGAGATGCTTTGAACTGATTTTGGGAGTGGTGCAGCTTAGCAGGACAATAATAAACTACTACTTTTTCTGATATGACTTGAAGAACAACTTAGTCACTTCTGAAGACTATTACAATGCTCATATAAAGAAATAATGGATCTAAACCCAGAATGAATAAGAAATTGATGTCCTAAACGCTAAGCCTAACAAGAATATGAAACTACAATACTGTTGGAAATCTCTATAGTGAATAAAGAACTTTGAATGTATACATGGTTGGTTCTAGACATAGTTGGCCTACTGAACAGGGAAGGCTAGGTGAATAGAGAGGGTGGAAAAGATTTCAAACAAGAGAACAAAATTATGTAAGAAAACCAGGAATGAATATAATTCTGAAATACTTCAATACTCTAATGAAACAAACACTACCTCCTTTTGGAGCCAGGACTCCTTTTCATTCGAAAATTGTGAAATTTGAGCCTCAAGAACAGTCTGAAAACAACCCCAAAAACTCATAATGGAACAGCCATCCTTTAACAACAGACGAAAAAATGAAAGCTGTGTGTATATGCATATGTGAACATCTCTAATCCAATCCAGTCCCTCTTTCAGCATGTGAGCTTTTTTCTCAGCCTGCATCTGTCTTATTTTGTTTTTAAGCTAGCCTATTAAAATTCCCAATATCTCTACTTTTTTAGGATTTCCAACTCTAGAAGTAAACTTGCCAATGAAGAACGAAAAACTGACACACGCAAAAAACATTAGAAAATCAAAACCCACAAGCCATATAGAGAGGGATTTCATATTACCACTCGATGCAACAGAACATCCTTTTCCGTGTGTAATAACAATATTTTCTCCTCCAGACTAGCCTGTGCATCGCGAAGTTAAGACATGAATGAATTAATTACATTATCTCGACATGCAGAAGATCTTAACCAACTATATGCAGCATCTACATTACCACTTCACGGATGTGAATGATATTTTCACTTTCTAGTTGTGTAATTCTCTCTTGAACTTTACACTGCAAAATGATGATATTGCTACATTTTTTGGAGATGTAAAATGATAACATTAGAAAGGAAATTCACATACTACACATTTAGCATTCCTGTAGAATCTTTCTGTTAATCAATAATGGCATCAAGTGGAGTAGAGCATAAGGCATGCATTTGTGTAAACACCAGAGGTGTTTAAACAAAGAGTCAAGGAGTAATAAGATCATATTCAAATACAAAAATCAAAAGTTATTCACATGTCATATCAAAATTAACATATTACCTCACTCTCTGCATATACTTCCTTCTTTTTCTCCATTTGTTTAATTTTCTCTTCAAAACTAGCCTTAAACACAAATAAGTTACAAATTATTACTCATATTTCACAATACAAGAGAGTCTAAGAATGAATTAATTAAATTTTTTCAACATGGAGAAGATCTTAACCAACTATATGCAGCATCTACATTTCCACTCTTTGGATGTGAATGATATTTTCATTTTATAGTTGCCCAAGTCTCTCTTCAACTTTACACTATTGCGGCACCATTTTGGAGATTTAAAATGATAATATTGGAAAGGATATTAACATACTACAAATTTAGCATTCTTTTAGAATCTTTCTGTGAGGCTTCACTCGTTTCACTAAATGTTCTCTTATAGAACAGTCTGTGGAAGCAAATTAGTCATCAATGGCATCAAGTGGAGCAGAGCATAAATCATGTATTTGTGTAAACTCTAGAGGTGTTTTAACATGGAATAATAAGATCATCTTCAAAAGGAAAATTAAAAAAATTCCCCGTGTAATATTGAAATTAACATATTACCGCTTTCACTGTGTGTATTTCCTTCTCTTTCTCCAGTTGTTTGATTTTCTCTTCAAATATAGCCTTAAAAACACATAAGTTAAAATTTACTCATAGTTCAGAATGCTAGTGTCTAAGAAGACAATCATGATTTAGATAGCCAAGAACCAGTTATGGTGAAGAAAGGTGGCTTCTTCACCTCTCTGTCCATCCAGTACTGTTTATCACCTTCAAGTAAAGTTGGCTCAGTTGGCTGTAACAGCAGGATCTTAGAAAATTATCAAACAGCAACCAACGCAAGGTGCCTTTAACTCATAATCTTGAAGAATTAAAAAATTCCAACTGGAATTGATTCCATGATGTCTAATCTTATACGTACAGGTTTAGTAGAAAGATCTCGATTTAAATCCATATCGATTTTTGCTGCACCATTATCCTGCAACTCCGCAGTTTCTGCAGTATCCTCACGTGATTCACATATATGGTTCTGATCTGGCTCTCTAGCACCACTCGGCACATTATCCGTGATTTTGTTCTGCTTATTCTTCTTTTTCTTGTTCTTGTTCTTCTTCTTCTTCTTCTCTTCTTCCATTCTTGGAGGTCAGAATCAGAACTTCACAAGTTCTATTTAAAAAAAATACCCTTCAAGGGAAATGAAAAAGGTCCGAATGAGCTTAAGAAATGCTTTCTTAACAATTCAAAAGCAATTAAATGGAATTGGAACCAGTATATCACATACAAATCAATCAATATAGCACCCTACTATTCTTAATCCATCAAAGTATTGTCAATGAACTACAGAAAATTAAATGTTAACTCAAACTAGATCTGATTCAAGCCTCGAATTCTCCAATATATATCAAACCAGTTTTCTTCTAAACCAGATCGACGTATCCCACACGCATTGAATAACAGACAGGAAATACACCTCATTTGTAGAATTACTCAAAATATTTACAAAAAAAAGGTAATTAACGTACGAATAGCCAAATTTTGCGTGGGAGTACCAGATGCGATAGGAATGGTCCGAAATCCAGAAAAGCTGATGCGGCAACAAAATGCACCGGTGACGGATCCGGGAAGAGTCTTTTTGTTTTCTTCCTTATGGTGAAAAAAAAAAGATGAAATGGAAACTGGAAAATGCGAGCTAGTGTGACGACATTGCAGTCCAGATTCTAGCAGAGGAACGGTTCTACAGAAGAAAGAGGGTAAACCGGCTTTCATGCCGGACTTAATTTAAAAAAAGAAAATGGTTTTGAGAAATTTGATTGTACTTTCAGCTATTTGATAGTATATTTTCACTATGTTTGGTTCAACAAATTTGAAAAGAAAAAGAAAAAAAGTGATTTTTTTTATTTTCCTCACCAAAATGGGAGAAATTTAGTTTTCCTCCACGCATGTCTTCTCATTTTATTTTTCATCCACTTTTTATTTTTTATCCTCTATAACCAAACAAAAAAAAGAAAGCCCCTAAACAAGAATAAAACATGTGTTATATACTCCCTCCGTCCTAAATTTAACTTCTCACTTTCCTTTTCAGGCTGTCCTAAAATTATCTTCCCATTACTTAAAATGGCAACTTCTACTATATCAAATGACAATAATACCCTCTAACCTATCCTTTCTTTTTTCCTTCCTAATTCTCACGTCCTCCTTTAACCCCAACTTCATCCGTTTTCTTTAATTTCTTCTTAATTCTAACTTCTACTTCTCATAATCTCATCCCAGCGACCTTCTCTTTCTTATCTCAAATCTCAGTTTTCCTTTTCGATTCGAATTTCCTTTCCCTTCACGAGATTTCATTTTTTTGTCTTTGATTTTGTTTTCGTTGCACTGCACCTTTGTCTCTAGTATAAAATTGCATTTATGATTCCATTCATTTTCAGATCTATTCTTTGTTGTTAAGATTAACACACTAAAAAGCCTAAGAAGAGCAGATCCATTTTTTTCTATTGCATCTTATACTTAATTCTTTCTACGGAGTATTTCAGATCTGTGTTTTTTAACATCTTTGATTTTACCCCTTTTTAATGTTGGGTGTGTTTTTGATACACCAAATTTCTTGAATTGGGTGGAGTCAATGATCGATTTAAGGCTCATGTGTGATTATCTTCCTTCGNCTAGAATAAAATTGCATTTATGATTCCATTCATTTTCAGATCTATTCTTTGTTGTTAAGATTAACACACTAAAAAGCCTAAGAAGAGCAGATCCATTTTTTTCTATTGCATCTTATACTTAATTCTTTCTACGGAGTATTTCAGATCTGTGTTTTTTAACATCTTTGATTTTACCCCTTTTTAATGTTGGGTGTGTTTTTGATACACCAAATTTCTTGAATTGGGTGGAGTCAATGATCGATTTAAGGCTCATGTGTGATTATCTTTTTTCGTATCTACTGATATACATGAAGCGTATATATATGCAAAAAAAATTTATTTCAGAACAGATGAATCGATTCTGTTCCAAAAGCTTGAATTTGTTGGATATATATGCTTGTGGTGGTTGGATGATTTTTGTTGGAGTTAGGCAAGCTCACATCAATAATCAGGGGCAGCGAAGTAGAAGAAGGGTTGAGGGGCAATTTTGGAAAGTCAAAGGAATTTTTACTCTTTCTTAAAAATGAGCTCAAGTCAAAACAGGAAGTTAAATATAGGACGGAGGGAGTACCAAAGTAGAGGTTCAAACATAAACTCCGGAGTAATTTATTAATTATTCCCTCTGTCCTAAAACTTTCTTCTCGTTATGCAAAACGAAGAAAAATCCCATGTTTTTTCAATCTATTTTATTTAAATATTGGTATAGAAATAAAAAATAAAACATACATATTTAAAAACTACATTAAAAGTTCAACAAAACAAGGGGTGACAAGAATATTTTATTTTACCATATAGCCATAAAAAAACACAATTAAATATAAATTCCCGTTAAAAAACCATTCCTCTGCTAGAATCTGGAGGGACGGTGACAACAACAAGAATAGAGCGAAGAAGGAGGCCGGCGATGGTGCTTGAGATTGAAGAACAGGATCGAGATCGGGCAATAGTTTCTATCGTAAAAGGATGGGTTGTGCAGTGCGCCAGGTTCGGGTCGGGTTCGGGTCGAGTCAGGTAAAATAATAAACTCACACCCGACCCAACCCGACCCGATATCGGGTTCGGGTAAAAAAATTCGGGTCGGGGTCGAATTATTTTATTCTCGGTTCGAGTTCGGATATTTTAGTGGTCGGTCGGGTCGGTTAAGATCGGGTTCGGGTTGAATTGTCATCCCTAGCAGTGCGGAAGGGAACATGTTGGGAATTGAAAAAATGGCGGAGAAGGATGCTACTGGATTGAATTCTCAGGGAAGGGATATATGATCTGCAAGAAGAGATTTTGGTCACAGATGAAGAGTTTTTGGATCCCGTTTGCAATGTCTCTAGTGTCGAAAGTGCCAATGAGGTAAGAGGACTTGATTGCCTGCCACACATTGTCTGCTCAATGGGATTTCTTTGATGCTAATGAAGGTAAAAACAACTCTTCTTACATGTGTGATATGTAACATTATATGTTGGCATATATGTCATTATATACATGTAACATCTATATATGTTGGCATTATAGATTATCATGTTTGGCAATTCTCTTTTTTAACATTATGCATTCATGTGTATGGTTTTATACATTCACATGATTGTCACTATGTGGTTACATGTGACATTAATTGTGGTCTTGTTTGACAGTGTATATATTGATATTTTAATGTCCATGTCCATATATTTATTGATTAAGAATTTTGACGCATACTCATAAGGCATTGATTCAAATCTCACATATTTATTGATTAAAAATTTTGACACATACTTATAAGGTATTGATTCGGATCTCACATATTTATAGATTAAGAATTTTGACGTTAAGTATGTTCTTGTTTGACACTTTATAGGCGGATGACTCAAACAACCCTAAAGGTGAGGTTTCTCATGTTCCTTTTCTCTTCCTTAAAATCTCTAAACAGACTATCGGAGTTGTGAAGTAAGATACATACATAAATAGTTATCCTTGTGTGGTCATTTGTGACATTATGTGATGTTATGTTTGACATTATATTTTTTATAGTGTATTTGGAGGTTAATGTGGAACTTTAAAGTTGACGCAATGTTGGCAATAGTGCTAGAGTGACATTTGTGTTGTTTAGCCTTAATGGTGGGAAAATCATTTATTTTATCAGCAATTAAACATAATAATGAATTAAAATGGGGTAAGAAATAAATTAAATCCCAATGTGAGCATTACACTGAGATAATTCAAATCAATGATGACATTTTATTGTTCCAAGCTTTCATACTTCATTATCAAGAAAATGAAAAAAAATGAACCAAATGTAATAAAAGAAGATTTCAAATAAGAAATCACCCTACGTAGCACTCTAACTCATATAATACTACGCATTTAGCACTGCTTATTGTTTATTTACCAAATTAGCTATTTATGTTGTCAATCTCTTCCAATCATACCCTTTATGTTATCAATCCCTTTTATCCATCCCACTATCAATTATTTCAATTTCCCTTTCAACTCCTATATCAAATTCGGTCTCACATAATATATACTTTGTGCATAGTGGCATAATACTCTTTTTTATCAAATTTTTTCGTCAATCAATTAAATGTAGTTTTGAATAAATATATATAATAAAAATATGATATATCAAAATTATATCATAAAAATATGCCAATTATAAATACTTCTTTTATCCCAAAATAGGGCTCTTATTCGATTTACGATGTTTAATTGAAATTATTTTCAAATCAATATTAGTAAAAATTATTGTATAATTAAAAAATAGGAATTATATATTAAAAAAACTACATAAAATTTTTTATAAACAAGTGGTGACAATGTGACTTACATATAAAACTACCAATTTATAAATTATTAT